GATTGGAGGTGTTTAATAGACTAGTAATCTGTGTTATCTGTTGGACCAGGCCATATCAAGCTCCTACAACCAGGACCAAAGTGGCTAGTAATCTAAGTGACCCTTACATCCTGGGGCTTCCATGTTTCCACAATCAGGACCAGAGATGGCTAATAGCCCAAATGACTTCTGCGCTATCTGTATTACTGAGTCTAGGCCAGATACTTCCCTGGACTTTCAAGGTAATGCAGGTAGCCTATCTCCAGATTCCATCTTCTTGCAAGAAATGACATGTACTCTGTGTTGAGTTTCAAAGTAATTACACTTCCTTGCCCCCAAATTATACTGTGTTTAAATGTGTTGGGGGAAAAATGCCTGGCATCAAACCCCTGGAAGTTTGATGCCAGTTAAACAAAGTCATTCTGAACTGAGTATTCAATCTCACCTCTTCACATATTGCTGGCTGCTTTGACACCTGAAGAAATCCCCACACCAGGGATGGATTAGTTTTTGAAGGAGAAAGCAATACTGTATAATCTTCTGATCTTTGGAGCAGATCAGAACATCATCTCTTCACTCAGGCAAATTTTTAACCAGGAAAAAGTGGCTTTCCTTTAGTGAACCTCTACAAAACCTTGAGTGTTCTACCTCTCCATGTTCTTTTTGTTTGTTTTTTGTTTGTTTGTTTGTTGTAAATCTGAAGACAAAATAGTTGCTTTGTCACTTTTATAGGGCTACCGAAGAAATGGGGCATGGGATTGAAAGCTAACCACAAAGGAGGGGTCCAACTTCAATGAACTCTAAGCCTGCTACTCCCCATAGCACCGATTTTTAACCTTGGTGTTCTAGGCTCTTCTCTATTGTTGTGATAAAGCACTCTGACCAAAGGCAACTTGGGAAAGAAAGGGTCTACTGGTTTACACTTTCAGGGTACAATTCATCACTGAGGAAAGTTGGGCCAAGAATTTAAGGCAAGCACTCCAAGAAGAAACAACAACAAAATGTTGATCACTGCTATCTCTCTTGCTTGCTCCCTTGCTCATGTTTAGCTAAACAGTGTTTGTACAACCTAGGACCATATGCCTTAGAAATGGTGCTACCTACTGGGTTAATCCTGTCACATCAATTAATAATCATGGTGATCTCTCACAGACATGCCCACAGAACAACCTAGTGTAGGCAATTCCTCAAGTGAAGCTTCTCCTCTAAAATGATTCTAGGCTCCATGCCTCAGGATTACAACAGCTCCAAATTCTTACACTCTTCACAGAAAAGCACCACAAAACAAGTATTAATTCAGCCCGTGATCTTAACCCAAACTCAAGGTTTTTCCACTGTCTTCAAGGCCCCAATGCACTCTGTGGCTACCCATAAATAAAGCAGAAACACTGAAGAAGCATTAGCTTTGTCATTGAAGGAAAGCAGCTTAATTCTAGAACCAGGAGGGAGGGCAATGCCAAATTGCTTTCTATTTATTTGAGTTTGGAGCTTGGAGTTGCTGGTTTGTACCGACATTATGTTCTGCAAGTCCAGGCCTTGGGAACCACCAATGAATGAGTGGATGCTACAGAATGACTTAAACCAAGAGCTAACTCATCTCAGATTTTCTCTGAAATCTCTTCAAGGACAGCTCGAAAGTGACACAGCCAAGTTCTCCTGCCACTGCTGCCTGCATCCTGAGCATGATAGACAGTGGCTGGGTGACTTGGACTTTTGATCTGAGGTTTCATCACATTCAAAGAAATGTAGATTCCTAGGGACTCACTGGTAAGTTTGTGAGACCTGGAGACTGTAAATTTAAATCTTGTACCTATGAAGATTTTGAAGAAAAATCCCAGGTGTAATAACTCTTTGACTTTTTTGGTAATTAAGTGTTTACAGAAAAAAAAAACTCTTGAGTTTCACTGTCTGAGGAAATCGAAAGCTATGAACATCGGTGAGGGGCTATCTCATTGTTTTTATCACTCCTCTAACCACAAAAAAGCACAGGATAAGACACCCAGTACAGCTCAGTCTGTGCATCGAATCTAACCAGTGTCAGTTTGCTTATTCTCTCTGTAAATATTTTGGTTCATTGGCATTTCAGGAGATTACAAAATCCTCTGGGTCACTTTCCAAGAGCTATACTTTTTATTATTTTAACATCTGACACCTCTCTCTCTCTCTCTCTCTCTCTCTCTC